CGTGCATTCTGAGAAACAGTAGCGAACAACCTCAGCCCTAGTATTTTTGTGAGATTTTTTCCTATTTTTATGTTTTTTTTACAAAATTTTTGCATGATTTTTATGAAATTTCTACTTTCTAAAGGGACCCTTAGTATATACTCCCTCCGTCCCTAAAGAAGAGTCATTCTCGCTTCAAAAAAATCAACAACTTTTAACTTTAACTAAATATATTTAACAAAATATTAATATTTATGGTACATAGTTTCAAAAAAAAATAGGGTAAAGTCCAATTTACACCCTCCAACTTTCACCAAAGTCCAGATTTCAACCTCGAACTTTAAAACCGGATAACTTTGGCCCTCAAACCGTTCAACTTTCAACCTTCTGAAGGTTTTGTGGGTAAACAGTAACTTTTGATATTTTTAGGATACGTCGAAATTTTATATTATTTTTTCGAGCATCTTAACGTTCTCAAGTGAAAAAACTCAAAACTACAAAGTTGTAGATCTCATCGATGTCTACAATTTACATATAAAAATTATCTTCATCCGACATTGTATTGAAGGGTTTTCTATTTTTTGAAATTTGAGTCTCATCACGCGAAAAAATATGGTGCTGAAATTTTATATTATTATTTCGAGCATCTTAACGTCCTCAAATGAAAAAACTCAAAACTACAAAGTTGTAGATCTCATCGAGGTCTACAATTTACATATAAAAATTATCTTCATCCGACATCGTATTGAAGAGTTTTCTATTTTTTGAAATTTGAGTCTCATCACGCGACAAAATATGGTGCTGAAATTTTATATTATTTTTTCAAGCATCTTAACGTCCACAAATGAAAAAACTCAAAACTATAAAGTTGTAGATTTCATCGAGGTCTACAGTTTACATATAAAAATTATCTTCATCCAATATTGTATTGAAGGGTTTTCTATTTTTTTTAAATTTGAATCTCATCACGCGACAAAACAACAATTTTGTCGCGTAACGAGACTCAAATTTCAAAAAATAGAAAATATTGTTTTGTCGCGTGATGAGACCCAAATTTCAAAAAATAGAAAACCCTTCAATACGATGTCGGATGAAGATAATTTTTATATGTAAATTGTAGACCTCGATGAGATCTACAACTTTGTAGTTTTGAGTTTTTTCATTTGAGAACGTTAAGATGCTCGAAAAAATAATATAAAATTTTGGCGCCTCTCGAAAATATCAAAAGTTACTGTTCACCCATAAAACTGTCCAGAAAGTTGAAAGTTGAACGGTTTCAAGAGTTGAAGGGCCAACGTTATCCGGTTTTGAAGTTCGAGGTTGAAATCCGTACTTTGGTGAAAGTTGGAGGTTGTAAATTGGACTTTACCCCAAAAAGTATTTATGTTACATAATTAGTATTATTAGATATATCGTTGAATATACTTTTATAATAAACTTATTTGGAGATATAAATGTTGCACGCATTTTATATAAATATAGTTTGTTAGAATTTATATGGATAAAATTCCCTAGATCCATATGAAGAAATTCTAATAAATCTCAAAGGCCCAATATATGTGTTTCTTAATGGGCTTTATTGTTTAAGTCCATAAGTAGAGGTGGAAGGTGCAACATCAATTAGTACAATATTGCTAGTTGATGTAGAGGTAGGGAGTTCTTCTCCCTATATATATATGTACCAATCTTTCTAGGAAAAGACATAACAACAATAGAACTATCATTGGAAGTTTCTAGTTTGAAAAATCCTAAGATAGTCAATTAGTGTTTTCCACTGCTCATTACTGCGTTGCCTTCTAAGTTTCCCCGTCTCAATCCTCTGCGCGCATGGAGAGTTGGGAGAGCAGGCATCCGGAACCACCGTCTGCATCTGTGACATCTGCTCGGGTGTGCGGGCGATCAGGGTTTTAAGGAGCGTCTTTGCGACTGCTCGCTTCTTCCTGATGATTGCCGACGTCTTCTTCTTCCTCGGATCGCCTATTTCCCGATGGAAAAGGTATTGAGTCGCTTTGGGTTTAGTGACTGTCAACCTACTCCTACGCTTTATGACCCTAGTGTGTTATTAAGAAAAAATTGAAGAATAGTAAGGGATCAATTGAGATACTCCCAAATTATTGGTTCGCTTATGTATCTGGCTAGCGCTACGAGGCCTAATATCTCGTTTGCTGCGAGCAAACTAAGCCGGTTTGTGTTAAATCCGGGAGATAATCATTGGCGTGCTCTTGAGAGAGTACTGCGCTATCTCAAAGGTACTATGAGCTATGGCATTCACTATACCAGGTATCCGAAGGTACCAGAGGGTTTTCTGTGATGCCAACTAGATATCTAATGCTGATGAGCTTTATGCCACAAGCGGATATGTGTTCTTGCTTGGAGATGGCGCTGTTTCCTAGAAGTCTTGCAAGCAGATTGTTTTAACGAAGTCAACTATGGAAGCAGAACTCACAGCATTAGACACCGCTGGCGCTGAGGCCAAGTGGCTTCATAAACTCCTTATGGATTTACCGGTTGTAGAGAAACCTATACCAGCTATTTCTATGAACTGTGACAACCAAGCTGTGATAACTAAGATAAACAGTTCTAAGGATAACATGAAGTCCACAAGGCATGTTAAGCGGAGATTAAAATCTGTTAGAAAATTGAGAAACTCTAGAGTGATACCGCTGGACTATGTCCACACATCTAAAAATCTAACAGATCAATTCACTAAGGGACTGTCACGTAATATGATAGATAGTGCATCGAGTGAAATGGGCTTAAGACCCACATGAAGTCTATTATGGTGGTAACCTGTTCTATGTGATCGGAGATCTCGTGAAGTAGGATAGTAAAATAAGCCAGTCGTAGATTGTGAGGAAAAACCCTTAACTTGGCTCATGTCAGATGCACGTCTTTCCTTTACTATAAGGCAGGTTGGTTTTTACCTTAATGTGTTCCAAGTGGCTTGTTGAAGCAAAGATGTTGTCCTATATAACATCTTTTGAGGAATACGCCTATATGAGTTCGACTACTAGTCACAGTCTATGAGATTTGGGTGATCTCTAAATACTCATGAAAGGTCCAAGAGTATGACTTATATGCTCCAACTAGAGGGGATGTTTTTGGCAACCTAGTATCAGTAAAGAGTTTAGGTGAAACTCATTGACACAAAACTTGCAATTCAAGGCGTAGTCCATTGTTCAAGTTGTGGATGGATGTAGCTTGAAGCTCTAGGCGGATGTTCAACTTAACAGTCTCTGCTGAAAAACACTGGTATATAAACAGTAGTGGGAGAAAGAAAATATCTATACTGGGCTTTTGAGATATGGTGGGGATTGTTAGAATTTATATGGATAAAATTCCCTTAATCCATATGAAGAAATTCTAATAAATCTCAAAGGCCCAATATATATATGTTCTTTAATGTGCTTTATTGTTTAAGTCCATGAGTAGAGGTGGAAAGTGCAACGTCAATTAGTACCATATTGCTAGTTAATGTGGAGGTAGGGACTTCTCCTCCCTATATATATATGTACCAATCCTCCTGAAAAAAGACATAACAACAATAGAACTATCACTGAAAGTTTCTAGTTTGGAAAATCCTAAGATAGTCAATTAGTGTTTTCCACTTCTCACTACTGCGTTGCCTTCTAAGTTTCCTCGTCCCGATCCTCTGCGCGCACGGAGAGTTGGGAGAGCAGGCCTCCGGAACCGCCGTCTGCATCTGTGACATCTGCTTGGGTGTGCGGACGATCAGGTTTTTGGGGAGCGTCTTCGCGACTGCTCGCTTTTTTCTGGTGACTGCCGATGTCTTCTTCTTCCTCCTCGGATCGTCTACTTCCCAGTGGACGTTCGAGGGACTGCATTGCGTACATCTTCCTACACCGACTGTGGTCTACGGCTTCGAACAACTCACCATGAGTGGGACTGGAGCCACCGGTGCGTTGAGCATGGGTCCCTCCACAGGGTACATATATATTCTCAAATTGGTTAAATTCAATCTCATTTTCACTATGATCAGTATGTTGTTTATGAACATATTTGCTGCTAATCTGAGTAGTAGTAAAATTACACACGTGCACATATTTGTCATCACAAATTTATTATTATTTTTCTAGATTAATTTTAACATGAAAATACATAAATTTCTAACATAGTCAAAGTTAAGAAAGTTTGGCCAGTACGATTCCCGTAGCGACTCTTTTTTTTTAAAGGATGGAGGGAGTACTCCCTATGTCAGTAATAAATGTTACTTTTCCAACGTAGAATCTGCGCTGGTTCAGTACATGTGTACATTTTGGGTGACTATTGTCAGTTTGTTTTCAGATACGCAGTTCAAAACCTCCAGGATCTTCAACGACTGAACTAGTAGTAAATTTGGTCATCTAACTAATTTTATGGTGATTTTGTGTTTTCTAGAAATAAAAATTATAGGTTTTACTCTCAAGGAATCACCACTCATTTATTTTTAGTCAAAAGAATAATATCTGATTTTTTAAAGAATAAATGCAATCACTATATAATATGTTGGTGCTTTATTTGAAGTTATTTGTATTTTATTTATTTTTATTGCTACCAGTCATGCTCGTTACTTATTTAAATTACTATTTTGCTTGACCAAGGTGATCCATCGTACTAGTAGCACACATAAGGTGTGGAGACCGGAAGATGTGGCATTGCAACTAGTATGGTTTTGCTAGCCCTCCGAAAATTAATTTGGTTAATTTTACTTCAACATATTTGGTTGTGTGGCTAAAGCAAAATCGGGCATCAATAGGATGGCCAAATGAACTTCTTCCTTTACTGAAACTAGTCCTTGTTTTGTTGCTAAGAGGCCTAAACCTTATTCTTGTGCGATGGAACTAAAACATATTGGTAGTGATTGGACACGCAAGACACTACACTATTATACCCGTTTTATTACCTGAAAGAATATACGTCCGAATAATTACACGCATCTAATCTTTTGTCGTTGTAGCATGAATGATTAACATGCTTTATTACAATTTACAATATAAAAACATATCATCAGCTGCTTGCACATGAAGGTAAGCACCTCTAGGTTTTTTCCTTCACATAAAGATGAAGCAAGGCATCAGCTACTATTCCCCCTCTTAATCGTTTCCAATTTTTATAAACCGCGTGACCGCGTGCCATGAAATTCTCTCACAATTCGTTCAAGAAAGAGAGAAATTCTCTCTGGCTCTCTCTCTAAAGCAAATATATATTATTTATTTATAATAATACCCATTTTCACGTTCATATAACTTGTGTCTTCTAACACAAGCCTGTTCGCTTGCTCGTAAATGATCGTAAATTTCTAACTGGTAATAGTATTTTTCTCTCACAACAGACCAGCCAAGAGTAAATAATCCACGATACGATACGGCCTCCCGAACATGCTAGCTCCATATGCAGCTGAAGGCTGAAGCTCCAACAAAGTGTCTCGCCGCGGTTGGTGACGACGATCGGTCGTGAATCGTGATGGCTGCGACGGCGACGGCGAGGAAGCTGATAGTGGAGGTGGTGGAGGCACGTCCAGCCCCTACGCGCGCGCCGACTTCGACGGGCAGCGCCGCAAGACGCGCACCGTGGCCAGGGACCTCAACCCGGCGTGGAACGAGGCGCTCGAGTTCGACTTCCCGCCCGCCGGCGTCGACCCGGTCGAGGGGGAGCCGCTCGAGGTCGCCGTGCTGCACGACCTCCGCGTCGGGCCTACCCGCCGGAGCAACTTCCTCGGCCGCGTCCGCCTCGACGCGCGCCAGTTCGTGCGCAGGGGCGAGGAGGCGCTCATCTACTTTCCGCTCAAGAAAGAGAAGGGCTTCCTCAACAGCTTCAACTGGGTCCGCGGCGACATTGGCCTCAACCTCAAGGTGTACTACGTCGACGTGCCGCTCGCGCCAACGGAGCCGGAGCCACCCGCCGCTGGCAACGACGCCGCTCCTCCTGATGCAGCGGCGGCAGAGTCGGAAGCAGCAGCACCGCCGCCCGATGCTGCTGCTACGGCTTCCACGGATGAGCCTCCCAAGGCCGAGGAGCCGATGGATGCAGCAGCTCCGGCGCCGCAGCCGGAGGCGGCAGAGGCATCAGCCGGTGACGGAGCCACCACAGAGAAGCCACCGGAGGCTGATCCCGCACCGGCGACGCCGGAAGACGCGCCCGTAATGACGGCGGAGGCGGTGGCAGCATCGGAGGAGAGGCCACCGGAAGAGGAGCCAGTGTCAACCCCGCCACCGCAGCCGACGCCGACGCCGATGCCACGGCAGGCATCGATGCCTGTACGCCAGCTGCCGCCGCTGACGCCGATGCCACGGCAGGTATCGATGCCTGTACGCCAGCTGCAGCCGCCGCCGCCCCAACTGGATGAGCCGATGGTGCAGAGCAAGCACGATCTGGTGGACAAGATGCCATACCTGTTCGTCCGTGTGGTGCGCGCGCGCGGGCTGCCCGCCGGCGCGCACCCGCACGTGCGCGTGGCCGCCGGCGGCCACCAGGCGTCCACGCGGGAGGCACGCCGCGGCGCCTTCTTCGAGTGGGACCAGACCTTCGCGTTCGTGCGGGATCCGGCCACCGACTCGCCGGGCCCCACGCTCGAGGTCTCCGTCTGGGACCTGCCGCCCGACGCCGACGTGTCCGTCGCCGACGATCGCCACTTCCTTGGCGGCCTCTGCTTCGACACCGCCGACGTGCATGCGGGGGACCCGCCGGACGGGCCTCTCGCGACGCTGTGGTACAGGCTCGAGGGCGGGCGCCGCCTCGGTGGCGCCGACCTCATGGTCGCCACGTGGGCGGGCACGCAGGCCGACGAGGCCTTCGCCGACGCCTGGAAGGCGGACTCCCCGTCGGCGCCCACGGCCACGGCCGCCGCCACGTCGCGCGCCAAGGTTTACGCCTCGCCTAAGCTCTGGCACCTGCGCCTCACCGTCATCGAGGCGCAGGACACGCTCACGGCGCCGCCTCCCCGCGACGCCGGCATCGCGGTGCGCGGCACGCTGGGCTTCCAGGCGCTCAAAACGCGCACCACGCCGGTGGCGCGCAACGGAGGGCCTTCGTGGAACGAGGACCTTCTCTTCGTCGCCGCCGAGCCGTTCACTGACGACGACTGCCTCGTCATCTCCCTCGAAGTGCGCCACGGCAAAGAGGTCTTCCCCGTCGGCTCGGCTAGCATATCGCTGGCCACCGTCGAGAGGCGCGTCGACGACCGGAAGGTGGCTTCCAAGTGGATCGACCTCCTCCCGTCCGACGAGGCAACGAAGAGAGTCGGCAAGAAGGCGTGTGCCGACGCTGACGCTCCACGCCGCCGCCGTGGGCGTGTGGAAGTACCGGCGCAGGCCGCGCGCGCCGGCGCCGCACCCGTGCGTGCGCGCGTCCATGGCGGAGGCGCCCGACAGGGAGGAGCTGGACGAGGAGTTCGACACGATCCCGAGCGCAAGGCCACCTGAGGTGGTGCGGGCGCGGTACGACCGCGACAGGATGGTGGGCGCGCGGCTGCAGCAGATGGTGGGCGACGTCGCGACGCAGGCGGAGAGGCTGCAGGCGCTCGTGTCTTGGCGCGACCCGCGCGCCACCGGGTTGTTCGTCGCGCTGTGCGTGCTCGTGGCCATGGTGCTGTACATGGTGCCCATGAAAATGGTGGCTGTGGTCGCCGGCTTCTACTACCTGCGCCACCCGATGTTCCGGGATCGGATGCCGGCAACAGTGATCAACTTCTTCCGGCGGCTGCCTTCCATGTCTGAACGGATCATGCAGGGGCAAGCAATCAGTGGCAACGGAGTATCAGTTTGGCACACACGACTGAAGATTGTTGCAATGAATTGATGGTTTAACATGCAGTAGCAGCAATATGTCAACGTTTTCTTCTAATTTCTACTCATTGTATTCAAGAACGCAATAAAACAATCTTCCTTTCAGTGTATAAGAATTATTGGTGTTTTTACTCCTTTCTCAGTAGTAACTTTACTATGTACAATTCAATGTAAGTGAGGCGTTGTTTAAATCCAGGGTGTAAAGTTTTGAGGTGTCACATCGGGTGTCACATGACGGTGTCGTATAGAGTGCTTGGATACTAATAAAAAAACAAATTACAAAATTCATCAGTAATCCGCGAGACAAATTTATTAAACCTAATTAATCCGTCATTAGCACATATATTACTGTAGCACCACATTGTTAAATCATGAACTAATTAGGCTTAAAAGATTCGTCTCGCGAATTAGTCGCAAACTGTGTAATTAGTTATTTTTTAGTCTATATTTAATACTACATATATGTGTCGAACATTCGATGGGATAGAGAATAAACTTTAGGGGAGAAACTAAGCAAGGCATGTAAACGAACTTCCAATGCTTAGATTTGAACAAAATTGACCTATTGATTATCGAATTTACATTTCAAATATCAGCAGCACAAGCATTCCACTGCTAATCCATGAACCGTGATCAATCCGGACCTTATAGGTAGACAGGGAAACAGGGTACAATCCTAAAAAAGAAAAGAAAAATGCTGTTTTAATCTCTGGGAATGGACACGGTGGACCTAGTATGACTTTGCGAAAATTGCGACTTCCTCTGCCGGGTTGCCAGTCATGAAGCATTTCTTGGTGCCCTCAGGCTGCTCGAAAGGGAAGCATCTGATGGTGGCACTGGTCTCTTCTTTCACTTTCAGCTCGTCAGCATCGCTGAAGTTTGCCACAGTTCAGTCAAATTAACATGTGTCAGAAACAACTGGTGTGTGCTATACTTGTACAGTACAAACATGAAAACGAAGATAGACAATTTACCAAAGTTAACCCACCTAGCTGACCAAGGACCTCTAGCCCACTTTCCTTCAGAAATAGCTTCCTTCAGCTCTCCATATGAGCTTACGTCAACAATGTTACTGCAAGAATGAAACAAGGTAAATTGTTCGAAACAGGTGCATGCAAGGTAGTGACACAAAGAAATGAAACATCCTTGAAAAGGCAGCCATTCAAAGAAGATATGGAGCCTTCCTAAATATTATTAATATTCAGAATACCATCTCTACTATTTAAACCAACAAAACACTATAACTTTTTTTTTATATAATTAACAACTTTGGTGGTATTGAAACATTTATGCCCATGGATAAGGTTGGTTTGCAGCCGTCAGTCAACAAGCAGGAGCAGATTAAAAGGTATCCCTAAAAGTAGATAGAAAAGACTAGGTAATCCTTCAATGCAAAACAATTACCTATCACGGAATGTGATGGCCTTCTGTAAAAGGGATCCTTGTATGTCATCTAGACGACCCTTTATATGGTTCACCAATATTGATGGCTCCATAGACACTCCAAACTCCTTTCCTTGCTTTGCTGGGACATCACGCCTAGAAACCACAACACTCTTATTTGTGACATCACGCGGACCAATCTCTATTCTTACAGGAACCCCCTGTCAAAAGCAATACAAGGAAATGAGAGAAATAAGTTTACAATGAGAGAAATAAGTTACACAGGGAAATAAACTGTATGCAGATTGATTGATTCATAACAAAGCCCAAATACATCTATGCTCAAAACAAGATTACATGCATAAATTAAATTATTGCATCTAATACATCTTTGATTTTGTTCAATTATGCCTATCGATAGTTAGCATCACAACTGGAACGAAGGCAATACTGCAACAGAGCCTTCTGGAAATTGTTATGGACTGTTAAGCAACACACAATACAGCATTTTTGGTCAAAGAATGAGGCATTTATGTGCTAGCAGATAGAGTAATGGTCTCAAGCAGAGTTGATGTACATTTGCAATAGCCATGCAACACAGACCAATGAAATCATCAAATATGAAGGGATTTTCATAGTGATGAAAGCATACGACTCTAACTATGGTAAGAGCAAATGGGTGAATAACACAAAGAATTGGATCTCCACTATAAGAGTAGAAGCAATTACTTTCATCTCATAATGGTTGAACTTCCACCCAGGAGTCCGCAGCTCTGAGTCATCCACTTTAACTCTGATTCCTGCTTCTTTGAGTATTTTTTGAACTGAATCTACAGCTTCCAGAACAGAAGCCTTCTCATCACCCTTTTTCCATATAGGTACTATTATAACCTGAATTAAATAGGAACATTATTAGATAGCCCCATCATGGGTATGAATTTGAAAAAAAGAACAACGCAAACCTTAGTTGGCCATTTATTCCATTGTAAAAGATTGATAGTAGCACAAGAAAGAAAGGAGGGAAGACTAGGTTAATCAGATAGAAGGTTGTGAATACAAAAGCAAGTAAATGAGGGAGGGAGAGAGGGATACCTGAATGGGTGCAATCCTTGGCGGAAGCATTAGACCGGCATCATCACCGTGGGTCATGATAATCCCACCAACAAACCGAGTACTAATAGCCCAAGAGGTCTGCCAGACGTGTTCGATTTGACCATTTTCATCCATAAACTGCAGACATTAAAAAAAATCAAAATCTTTTTTCATTTCTAAAGCAAGATCTCGAAAACAATAAACAATTAAAAGAACCAAATCCAATCCTTGTGAAAAAATTCTTCTGAATTTTTAAAATGTATAAAATGGACCCAACACATGAAGTAAGCATGATATGAAGACAGATGGAGCAACCTGTGTTCCAAAAGCTCGTGAAAAGTTTTGGCCGAGGTTGTGACTAGTTCCAGCTTGTAAGGCCTTCTTGTCACCCATCATAGCTTCTATAGTGTAAGTCCGATTGGCACCAGCAAATGTTTCTACTCTTGATTTTCTACCTGGAATAACTGGTATTGCAGCATGCTCATAGGCAAACTTGGTATATACATCAATCATCTGCATCGCCTGCAGAGCAATAACAATTGGAGAAGATGAGATAGTGCAATAGAATCTTTCATTGCTTTTCAAGACTTGGCTTTCCTGCGCCATTACATGCATGGCTTTGAAATTTCAACAACAGAAACAACAATAACACGGAAACAAAATGTGAAACTAACCTCTTTCTCTGCCTCCTCAAGGGTGGCATGGGCTGTATGACCTTCTTGCCATAAAAATTCAAGAGTTCGGATGAATGGTTTAGTCCGCATTTCCCATCTTGTCACATTAGCCCACTAGGAAAATAAGAACTATTTAATATCGTGAATAATAATGGACTACAAGTCTACAGCTAGTCTAAATTTGCCAACGAAGTTACCTGGTTAATCATGAGAGGAAGATCACGATAGCTATGAATCCATTTGGTGAACATGTGGTTTACAATGGTCTCACTTGTTGGTCTTACCTACAAAGCCCTCAAGAACACAAGTTCAAAAGGTTCAGGTTTAGAGGCAATCTACGTAATCATTTTTCCAACAAAAATATGTGGTCTATACCAATGTAACTATTAGGCAATAGGAGATTGTATATTGCATATATTAGGCAATAGGAGATTGTATATTGCATATTTAGGCAATCCACGTTAGGATCGAGATTTACTTCCTGTCCAAAAAAAGACAGCTATGCTGCCCTATGTGGTCTATACCAATGTAACCATAAAACTAGAGCAAAGTAATACCACAAGCTTTTCCTCTAGTTCTTTTCCTCCTCCAATGGTGACCAACGCAAGCTCCGGGCTAAACCCTTCAACATGACTAGCTTCCTTCTCTATAAATGAGTATGGAATGAACTGATACAATAGAAGGGACAAGCATAAGAAATTATAGATAACAAGTAGAAAGTATGGAGTCTAACTCAGATAAAGCATGAGGCAATTGCTTAGTGACAAAAATAGATAACCTGAAATAAGGGAAATGTATGACAATGACACAAAGCTAAAAGGAAGATAAAGGCCACAAGCTTGATCCACGTCACCAAACATGGACATCTACACACTTCCTTTGACTATAAACATCAATGCAAATATCACTTCCCCAGAGATCATTTGCATAGGAGGATGTGACATTACATGGAGTATGTGTTTTCATACTATCCTGAATTTCCTACCATGTGTCAACAGAACAGAATTTCGTCATCAAAACGTCAAAATTCAGCATCCATTTGTCATTTTGTTCCTTTCAAAATTATGCGTCTTAACTTCCAGAATATGGTAATTCTGCAGAGGCTTTAGTATGTGATACCCTCAAAAGATGAAATTACAATTTCTGAAACTTCATCCAAGCACAGGCCTTTTCAGACTTTATTACCAATGAGAGCTGACATTTTGTCGCATTAACAAATGGTATTCCTATCAAACACAATCTAACATTGCAACATAGAGCTATGGAAACAAATATTTATTGATCAATCAGCTATTGTTATCACTGAGCACTAACCCAGAAAAGAATAGCAGAAACAGATAGATCATTCTTTGCGAACCTGAGGGAAGTACATGTTGTTGTGCCCTGTTTCCTTGAATTTGACATTCAAATAATCCTACAATAAATTGACAACAAAAATATTCAGGCATGCAACACTGAAAAGTATCACTTAACAAGAGGAGCATTCAGATGTAAAGCTAAACAGTGTGTCGGCACAGAAAGTGACCAACTAGTAAATATTTGTAGTTTTGCCGTACGTTGTGATCGGAGGTGGCCTAGCACTCAATGACACAGGGTTTATACTGGTTCAGGCAACGTGCCCTACGTCTAATTTGAGTCGGTCAGTGACTTTATTCCTGAGCCCAGGTGCTCGAAGTTTGCAGTGGGGTTACAAACGAGGAGGAGAAAGATGGGGTGTACAAGAGGTCCGGTCGGCTCTGGTCGGAAGGGCCGAGAGCGACAGGAGCTACGCTATGAGCTAAGTGTTCAAGCGTGTGCTTGAGGTCCGAACCCGGCGGTTCTGTGGTTGTGGGCTAGTGAACTTGATCGAAGTTTATTAACTAAAAGGGGGCTCTCCGTTACGTTGGAGGGAGCGCATCCCCTTTTATAGATAAAGGGGATGGCTTTACAAGTGAGAGGGTGAGGGTACATATGCTACTGAGCTTTGTTGCCCATGACGGCGGGTACAAGATAATGGTAGGCGCCCACAACACTGTTGATGTCACTGTAGAATGTCAGATGCATGTGGGAGGTTGCGTTGCCTTCTTCAGGAATGGCAGATGTCGGTACCTGCAAATACTGTTGATGCCTAGAGGCATGTAAGGAGTTTCGCTATGTTCACCCGGTACGGTAAATCCCGGCGCCCACAACACTATCGATGCCCAGAGGCATGTGGAGGGCCTTACCGTATGGGAGTTAATGGCCCCCACGATACTGTAGAGGGAAATGTCGGCGCCTACAATACTGTTTGTGTCAGGGCGGTTGCAGAGTACTGTTCCTGTAGGCGTACAAGGTATGGTCCCTGGTATCGTGGTTTGACTTGTGCGCCCTAGCTTGCTTTCTCCGTTTGTCCCCTGGTCCTTTCCGAGCGAGCGCCCCCGGTCGGATGGCCCCAGTCGGCTCTGGTTGCGCCAGTCGGAGAAGAGCGGTGAGCAGGGTTTCTGTGAACCCCGGTCGGAGATGCGAGGTCGGAGTCGGAAGTAGTGCTTGGGTCAGGCCTTCCGATCGGAGAGGCCGTCCGGAGGCGGCTGGAGTCCAAAGTGAGCGCTCCGGTCGGAGAGGTGGGCCGAAGTAGTCGACGAGCGGGCGTTGTTCCTCTTCGGCCAGACCTTCCAGTCGGTGACCGGACTGCCCTTTCGGCCTGTTGTTTTAGATTCTTGGGCCGGCCCATGAGTTACGTGCTGTCTGCTTAGGCCGAGCCTTGGCGTGGAAGCCGGTCCCCGAGGGACCCCGGGGTTATGAACCCGACACAGTGAGTCAAAATTTTCATGTTATGCATAATGAAGCTCCCATTGACCATAATCCACAGCGGCACTACATGATTGGAAAAATATCGTTTCATACAGACCACACACCAGAATAGCACAAAACAAAACCCACGTTATTTGTGCCGATTATCTAAACACCATTTGGGGACCAGTCTACTAAATGGGTAAGTTTCCATACAATGCATACACTCTACACAACTACAGCAAACTATTAAACCCTTCAGCTTACCAAACTGCACAAATGCGCATCAACAGGAGCCCAGCTACACGGTGATTCGAAACCTACTACGCAGGCAGAAGCACCCGCAATCATTCTTCCTCCAACTTGACACCACCAACATTAAACGCAGGATGGCGCACGGCACGGGGGAAGGAGGAGCGAATGAGCACTGACCTGGATAGCCTCCCAGATGGCGTATCCGTAGGGGCGGATGACCATGGTCCCCCGCACGGGCCCGTAGTCCGCGAGCTCGGCGGCGGCGATCACGTCCGTGTACCAGGCGTTGAAGTCCGCGGACCGCGGCGTGACCTGCCCCTCCCTGTCCCCGCCGCGGGTCTCCGCGGCCGCCGGCGCCGCCGCGCCCGCGGCCGCCGAGGCCTGGCCCCTGGACGCGGCGGAGGCCGCGAGCCTCGCCGCCGGCAGCCGGCGCCGAAGCAGGGGCTTGGACGGGGAGAGCAGCGAGGGGAGGCGCAGCAGCGACGCCATTGTGGCCTGTGGGGATTTGCCTGCCTGGATTGAGGTTCTGTGCCTCAGTGCCAAACACGCTAGTGCTATAGCCAGCTAGCCTTAGTGGGCTGGGTTGGGCTGAGCTGTTCCATTAACTATGATCATGGAAACGGCTCAACTCAATAAAAGGCCCCTGCCGCCACCGCTTCTCGTCGTTGCCGGAGGACTGGGAAACGCTTTGGGCGTCTTTGTTAGGTGTACATGGGCTGTCCTGGCCCATGGATACAGGGAATGCTGTTTTTTTGGGGGGAATTTTTTTTGCGAGACCATGTTAGTATGTTACACATAACGAGCGCACACTCACCCCTATGAACGCACACACATACACCTACCCCTATGAGCATATCGGAAGAACTATGTTGGATTGGCAAATATCGAGATTGACGAAGTCAACACAGACGTCTCACTGTCGACGGGCACGTTGCCTACCACTGAAAGAACAACGCCGTTAAATCCTTGAATAAATCCAGAAAAATACGAGCACCCATGTCAAGTCGGGGACTTGAACCCGGGTGGGAAGGTTCCACCACAAAGAACCCAACCAGTTGTTGTTAATGACTTAGGTCAAACTCAGCTTATGCAAGATTATCCCAACAGTCTATTTCCACATAAACAAGATTAAATCCGTTTTCTCACAGGTCTGATTGGCGCCAAAGTTTTCAATTCATATATATTAGAAAATTTTCGACAACCTCCAAACATACCAGAGTTTGTGAAATTTGGCCGAAATTTTTTAGCCTTAAACATGAAGTATAATTTTCTTTATTTTTAGATATAAACAAAATATTAGCATGATTTATGACTACACACCTATTTAATAGAAGAATATGTAAAACATAGAAAATATGAGTTTACACTTACGTAGCACATGTATTAGTGTAATACAAAATTTTAAATTTGTTTTTTTGCCACCACCGAAATTCAGCCTTGAAACATATACGAAATTCACGAGTTTGGGTGTGAAGTTGGGCAATGGCTTATGGAGGGCAATCCATCCAAGTCACCGAAGCAGGGTGTTCAGGATCTGTAGCCAACCGAGCAATGAGTATGAGCATTAGTTATATATTTATATCGATGTGAAATTCGGAGACTGGTGCTAAGACAAGGTTGAAGTCTTGTATGGACCTTGAGTTAGCTGTGGATTATGTAGATTTGAATTGACCCATGCTAAAGAATCTCTTGCACTACTATTTCGAGCCTCAGGTCCCGTTCGCGTGCCCTTAAATCTGGTTTGATCCGTTTATTTTTTCATCCGGAACAGTGTTTTTCTCTCATAAATTCCTCCAGCATTTCTCCAAACCATCCAAATTCCTCCAGAATTCAGACAAGCGAACATGCCCTCAATAGTCAGTTGTAACTTGTAAGCTGACATCTCCATTATTATAATCTTTTGAAGATGGATCCGGTTTCGCTTCTAAGGCCCTGTTTGTTTCCGCTTCTCCTAGACACGCTTGGATTATAATCTAAGCGAAGATTTTCTCGCTTCTCGCTTTTCGCTTCTCGTAGTTCAAATCTCTGAAGCGGCTTACCACATAAGCGAGAATCGGTGGAAATAAGCAAAGCGTTTAGCGGGATTCTCGCTTATTTCCACCGATAAGCCGCTTATAAGCGGAAACAGGGCCTAAATACAGGTCTCACATCAGTTTTTTTTTAGATAATGGGGTCTGATCTGACATCAGTTAATCGAGGACTCAAACTTTTTTACAATTTAATCAGATACGAATAATTATTAATATTTATGATGTGTAAGAGGAATGACTAAATTAACAATGAAATATATTTGGAGATATAAATATTGATACTAATTAAAAGAATAGTTAAATTTTAAAATAACTGTGAAAAGTGAGATGTATTTTTTTTACAAAGTGAGTCTCGATTATTCTGGGAAAGGGACCGTTGCTTCTGTGAGGAATACAAATGGGCCATTAACTTTCTTTGTTCATTAAAACAAATGCAATACAAACTAAGTTTCACGATGTTGTTGCTATTGTTTAACATTTACACTAAAACACGTGGAACAATCTCTGAATATAGTATAATGGTTACTGTTGGACTCGTGGCCTTGTACCATGGCAGTGCGAAAAGGTCATTTTATTTGCTAAATTGCTAGATTTACCAAGTATTTTTGCTGGTTTTTAGAGCATCTTCAAAAAGGACGCTAAAAATCACTTGGTAAACAATGATTGAGCAGACGAATAAAATGAATAGGAAGCTTTTTTTGTTATCCTTTTCTTTCAATAGCTTTCTATAAAAGCATCTCCAAGAGACTCTCCATATCCTTCATAAATGTTAGGAATAGAGATTTTGGTGAAAATCTACACTCCAACAGCTTTTCTAAATGGTTATCCAAATATAGTTATCTTCTATTTCAGATTTTTCACTAGACAAAAATTGAAGACCTCCATATCCTTTTTAAATGCTAGGGATAGAGATTTTGGTGAAAAACTACACCTCCAACAGCTTTTCTAAATGGACATCCAAATATAGTCATCTTCTATTCCAGATTTTTCGCTAGCCAAAAATTGAAGATGAGAATGACTCTCTAAAGTGCGTATGAGATATAGAAAAACAGTTGGAGCGTGAAAAGATATAGAAAGCCATTTTTAGTGCAAATGACTTCCCAAATAATAATTTCAAGAGTGAGATTTAGAAAGTCTTTAGAAGATGCTCTAATAAGCTTAAAACTACGTGGAAACCAAACGGAAAACTACTGCATGGAACCGAAAAAAAAAAGGAAAACTACTGCATGATCTTTTTTGTTTGCCGGAAAATCGAATTAAGAAGTTGTTTGAAGGAGCTTTTGAGCGTTGGTCGGAATGAGATCATTTTACGTCCGTTGGAGCCAACAAGATACATCCTGGATTCGGTGTGGCTGGCCGTCTCGTCGCGTTGGGCTGCTGGCCACCAAAATATCCTCAGCTTGGGCGGCGGCACGTGGCCGGAGCATGGCCGACCCGCCCAAGTCCGCACCGAGGCGGAGGCGGGCGGTCCCCTTGCTCCCCGCCGCATCACCCGGTCCCGGCCGTCCCCTCACGTGCCGATCAGTCCACGCATGCGCGCGCACCAGCCATCAATCGACCCCGAAGGCCCGAACCGAAGTCCCGAACGCGGAAGCCACACTCGCGTAAACAACCCCCATTAACTCCGGCCCATGCACCTGCGGGCCCCGCGCGTCAGCGGCAGCAGCTAGCCGTCGCCTTCGCGCAGCGCTCGGCGAGCGCGCGACACGCCGGCACGCCGCCCCCCGTCAGCGTCGCCCGTTTTTTCTCCCCGCTTGGAATTTCTCGGCGACAGCGAGCGCGACCCTGCTGGATGCGAGGCTGCGAGTGTGGCGGTGCTAGCTAGAAGTCCTGCTCGTAGTGGAGTGGAGTATAGTATAGTAGATAAGCAAGCTGCGGGCGCCGCCCAGATGGGAATCGGGTTCCGACACGCACGCGCCCACACAGCGCACCTCTCCGCGCCGCGATGGCTGCTTCGCCTTCGACCGCGCCCGCTCCTTCCTCCTCAGCGTCAGCGGCGGCGGCCTTCGCCGTGAACGGCGAGCGGGTGGAGCTCCGCGAGGGTGACGTGGACCCCGGCGCCACCCTCCTCGAGTTCCTCCGCACCCGCACCCGCTTCACCGGGCCCAAGTTCGGCTGCGGCGAAGGCACGCCACCCCGACCTCCTCCTCCTCCTCCCTCCCTCCCCCGCGCTCTTCCGTTTCGTTCCGCGATTTGAGCTTGACGACCCATTTCTGCAGGCGGATGCGGCGCGTGCGTGGTGCTGCTCTCCGCGTACGACGCGGCGTCGGGCGCGGTGTCGCACGCGGCGGTGAGCTCCTGCCTCACGCTGGTGCACGGGCTCCACCACCGCGCCGTCACCACCACCGAGGGGCTCGGCCGGGCGGGAGCGGGAGGCCTCCACGCCGTGCACGAGCGCCTCGCGGGGTTCCACGCCTCGCAGTGCGGCTTCTGCACGCCCGGGGTGTGCATGTCCCTCGCCGCGGCGCTCGCGGCCGCCGAGGCCAAGGCCAAGGCCCAGGCGGGGAGGAGGCCCGACGACCCGCCCGAGGGGTTCGCCGCGAGGCTCACGGCGGCTGAGGCGGAGCGGGCGGTGGCGGGCAACCTCTGCCGCTGCACGGGGTACCGCCCGATCGCCGACGCCTGCAAAAGCTTCGCGGCCGACGTGGATTTGGAGGACCTGGGCCTCAACTCTTTCTGGAGGAAGGGGGACGCCCATGCTTCCAAGCTGCCGCGGTACGACGAGGGGAGCATCGGTGTGTTCCCGGAGTTCCTCAAGGCTGAGATCAAAGCTTCTTCTTGGGTTGATGACCTGTACACGCCGCCGGCATTGGTAGGAGGTGGCAGCACTTGGCACCGGCCTCGGAGCGTGGAGGAGTACTATAAGCTGGTAGGTTCTGAGTTGTTTGGCGAAAGTAGAACGAAGGTGGTTGTGGGAAACACGGCTTCAGGCGTTTACAGAGAAACCGAGGTGCATGATAGGTACATTGACCTCAGATGCATCCCAGAGCTGAATTCGGTTAGTAAGGAAGCCAATGGGGTTCAAATTGGAGCTGCAGTATCGATTTCTCAGGCAATTGAGATTTTAAGAGTAGAAGCTGGCGGCTGCCATGATGTAATCTTTTGTAAGATTGCTGATCATATGGAAAAGGTGGCTTCTCTATTTGTCCGGAACACTGCAAGTTTGGGTGGAAATTTGATAATGGCACAGAGGGACCAGTTTGCCTCTGACATCGCAACGATCCTTCTTGCTGCTGGTTCATCGATATGCATCCAGGCATCATCAAGAAGGTTGACTGTCACGTTGGAGGACTTCCTTCAGATGCCACCTTGTGATCACAAGACACTGCTATTAAGCATTTACATTCCTCGTTGGACCCCCATTGGTAGCTTATCTGGTGGTAAAACCATGGATGGGACAGTAAGTAAAATAGGAACTTCTGTGCTATTTGAGACATACCGAGCTGCTCCACGCCCTCT